CACAAATTACTTAAGTTATTCGGTTTATAAACGTGCCTGACACTCCCTCTGACGCGAAATAAACCAATATCCCGAGGTGTTCAGTTACTCCTAACAGTACATTGACTGAACTTCTAAAAGAGAACCGATGATGGGATGTGCACGAGCAGAGCAGCTGGACTGAGTCTCGTCCTGCTGAGAGACGACATCACAGTATGGTAAGGGACGTAACATTTCCGTCACACGCTTGAGGAATTCGGCCAATCACAACATGACCCCTTTAATGTGTAGTGACAGATCGCTGTAGTGCCACAGTTCATGCGGCATGTAAACTGATCATCTCTCATCGCCTGTCAATCACACTCCCGGCGAAGGGTGAATTGCAAGATGAAAATGTGCAATTCTGAAAAAAAAATTCTATATTGTGAGGTATAATCTCCAAATTGCAAGAAAAAAAATGTATGAGAATTGTGAGAAAAAAAGCAGCAATTACCTTTTAAATATTTTTATTCTGTGGCAGAAATAAGCTTCCTTAGGTCTGACTATGAACACAAGGTATTTTGAAGAATGTTGGTTACCAAACAGTTTTGGTGACAATTGACATCCATTGTATGGATGAAAAAAAAAATATTTTTATGATCTAATATTTCACAAGTTGTCTTGAAGTCATGATGTGCATTATAGTAATCTTGCTATGGGTGTGTTGGGGGTTTGCTGTCAGGGTGGACCCCACTGAGGAGGGCGACTACAGGATTTGCTTTGACAACAGTTTCAGCCATATTTCAGAGAAGATGGTGTATGTGGAGGTGATCGTGGATGGACCAGAGAATGAGGATGATGAAGATTGGGCTGCTCTGGCTGAACCAGAGGACTCGCTGGAGTACAAACTGGAGGATATCAGGGTACACAAATCACATATCCCTTCACACATCTGCCTGTATCCAGTTTACAACTATTGCAGGAAGTACATGTGGATCATGTGCATGATAAATATAAAATTAAATCACTATGTAGCGAATCAGCTCATGGGGAAATATGAATAATTAATCATAACTGGTTGCAGAAGCGTTCTAGCTCATCTTAGAATCTAACCGAGCCACCGACTCTGGGCGGGTCCCTGGTGTGAGGCCTTTTTAAGGTCTCGGAAGATTCACGCCTCTCAAAAGGGTCTTAGCAAAGGTGTCGGGGTTGCCATGGTAACCAGTGGCCTGTGGTCATTCGCAGACATCCTGGCGCCCAGTCTATTGGGTGAGGGGTCTGTGACGACTTGTTAATCTAATGAATAACTGATTTGTTAAATCAAATGAAAAATTGTTTTTGATTGGTCCAGACGCTACAACTACTAGAAGAAAAAAATGTTTTTTTTAAGTTATAACAAGGTTCTTCTGATACCATTTTCATCCTACATACTGTACTTAAGATGACAGATGTTATGTTTTTATAGTAAACAAACTGTAAATTATATTGGATGCTTTCAGGCTACTTAACCCTGTAAAGCCTGACATATGAAATGATAATCAGAAAAATCTAATTATTATTTTTTTTAAATGGAGCAGTTTACTAAACCTTTAGATAAAATATTTAAACGTTTTGGTATCATTATTTGTTACATTAGGCTTTTATGGCTTATATAATATGATATAGGAGAATATGGAGCTCAAACTCGAGGAAGAAAGAAGTTTTTTTGGGACTCAGTTTTATTCTGAGGCCCAAACTGAGCAACAATATGCAATTTGGTGCAGTTGCTAATATTTATATGGCCAAAAAATTAAGATGAAATTCTGATTGCTTGTAATGTAAATTAATGAGATTTTTATAGCAGTATAACAGACTACTTACATAAATTGCATATAAATATAAATTGCCAGTCTAAATATCCTATTAAAATGTCTAAAGATGATGTTTAATGCAGTAAATGCATTATTTTATGATGAAATTGATTTTTTTTTCACATTTTCACATTATTTTTTCTAAAAAATGGATAAATAAGTAAACCTAAGTGGCTTCAGTTCAGTGTTCATTTTGAAATGTTACTAACAATATAAAAGTTATTCTTAAGTTTACTTAATAAAAATCAACAAATATAGACACGTGTATCACAACCTGAAAGAGGTTGATTTTACAATTACACTAGAAGGCCTTTTACTTGCTAAAAAGTATAAACTGTCAATCAGTCAATCAACAGAAGCCATGTAGTAGATTGTGTACAACAGATTTTTCAGGTTTCAGGTTGTTTTGATTATTTTGATAATTTACAGTAGGCTTTGAGAAAAGCTACCATGCTGGTATTTTCACAATGTTTTCAGAACATTTTTTTAAATGGTTGAATGCAATTAAGAAAATTATTCGCAGTTCAAATTTTCCTCAGTTCTAGTTTTGGCACTGATCATCTGCAACCAAGTGCATTGTTTTAAAAATGTTTTGTGGGAAGCTATGTTTCACTCATGTTTTCTCTCACCGCCCAGGACACAATGGATGCTGTGCACAAGAACCTGGAGCGAAGCCGTCAGCTGCAGACGGCGCTGCGGGCGTTCGAGGCTCGTGACCGTTACCTGCTGGAGGATAACCTGTGGCGGGTTTCTTTCTGGTCCAGCGTCAGTCTGCTGGTCATGGTCAGCGTGGCCCTCACCCAAGTCTACACATTACGCAGATTATTCAGTGACAAACACAGAGTTTGCACATAGCAAAGATGAACTGGAGAGGGATCTGTAGGGAAGATGCTGTAACACTTTGTGCACTGTTAACAAAACATACAAACTAATGGATTCTGGAAATGAAGACATGCGGAAACTCTCAGGTCCAAAAAATACCCCTCTAGTTTATTGCAGAATTGAAGTGTTTAGCGCTATCAATGAATCTGAAATCTTGGAGCTTGACCATGTACCATTTCTCACAAAGAGTTTTCTTTAGAGCGCTAACACTGCTGAACACTAAATTTACTTGAAGTACTGTAGGAACATTTGAATGTAATTTTGTACTTGACTTTTAAAATACTGTGATTAAAATAATTTATAAGACTTTTGAAATAAATAACATTGCGATTAACATTTCTCATGGATTTATATGGCAGTAAAATAAAAATCCAAGGGAGTGTTTTGCTTTGAATGGTTTTATTATACAGCACATTAGCATCTCATTTGGAACAAATGCAGCTCAGTCGTATGTGGCATAGCAAGTGCAAATGCAAAATGAATTTAAAACTCATCTGTGTTATTGATGTTACATTTCAAGTCAATTGCTGACTGCAATGAATTGAGTTATTACTGTATTGTGGGAATCAGAATCACATTGTTTCATTCATATCTTTGTTTCTGGTTAATCTGTAGGTTAATTCATTTTCTGTGTTTCTTATATTCTTCCATCACCATGCAACAATATACAAGTACTTTCATTAAACAAGAAGCCTAGTAATAATTCTGTACAACCTTATTCATTACAAACTACCTATAAATAAGAGTCCCTAGAGTTCAATTAAATAATTCACAGGCATGATGCTTAGCTAATGACATCATTTATTCAGTAGAAATTTGCCACTTAGGTCATCACTTGTAAATCAACTTATGGCAAGTTGGGTCACATGTGCCTTGTCAACCAATCATATTCTGGTCCTGATCTGGCAGAAGCCACCCACTCCCATAAAGCATTGCAGATTACATGTTTATTCCCATGGATGCATTCAACTTTGCTTTTTATCCCCTTCCCTTGCTAACTTCCCTTCATCTCGTTGATTCGGCTATACGTCATTGCTTGCAAGAGTGCTTGCTCCTGTTGGAAACTTTGCAATAGGTTGAATTGGAACATCCGAAGCTGTTGATCATTTGAATTTCTTAGAATCAATACAGTAAACGGTGTAAGAGGAAGAGGGGAAGTGCTTAGGGAAGTTTGCAAAAGGCTGTCTAAAAGTGTAGTGGAGCGCACTCTCTGATGTGTTTTTGTAGGCCAAAACCTGGAACTAAGTTTACGTTTTACCACTTCTGGTTCCATCACACTGAGGGTTTTTGAATGGGTTTTTGGTTGAAATAAGGTCTGTGGTGAACACAAGCTCATGTTTACACATTTTATTCTACGGCATAAAATACATAAGTAAATACACAAGTGGTTAAATGGGACTAAATGGTTGTTGGGGACATTAAATGTCATCACGCCAACTCAACTACTCACTAACTTAATGGCGGTGACACTGAAGTCATGTGACCCTGGTGTAGTTAGTTTATAGCCTAAGTTTAGCTTTCTACTTGTCACGACTGTGCTTAAGCTTTAAAATTCAGCTGTGTTCATGTGTGAAGAGTTTATGATGAACCAAATGTGTAAGAATCATAAGCTTTTGTTGGTAACAGTTTTTTTTTTTTTTGTAGTAATCCAAAAGCCATTGGAAACATTCTATTTGGCTTTTGTCGAGGGAACCAGGGTGATGCAAACTCATGGGTTGGCCTACAAAAATACAGGACATCATCACTGCAGCACTCTATTTCTTCTATACCTTTGTAAATATTTCTGAAGTTGGGAAAAAAGATAATTATACTGTTTTTAATAAGTACAATCAATGACTCCAAGTCAATGGTTTCACATTTCAGATTCACTATTATTCACAGTGCTTCATACCTGGTTTTGTTTAAAATCAAAGTTTATAATGTTGCAATTCTGAGCTGGTTTGATTTGGTTCAACTTAGAACTCCATTTCTATTTAATCTATGGAGAAACTGAATGGGAAAAACTACTTCTAGAACCAAGATGAGATGAGAGAAGGGCCAAGATGAGAGAAAAGTTCAAACAAGACTGTGTAACACCTGGAAGAATCTCATCTTTGGTCAAATTTTTAAATCGCATAGTAAAATTTAAGTTGGCTTTTTGTCCAATCCAATTTATTCTTCCTTCGATATCCTATTTATATCCGTTAGAAACAGGCATCACGTCCTCATGGTGCAGTAGAGCAGCCATATGGTGATCCTCCTCCAGAGCACCGGATCAGCTTCACCATTGGTTCTCTGGCCGTCGGGGAGGTGGACGTCTGTTCAACAACCGCAACCAAAAGCACAGATCAGCAGTGAGAATTACATTTGCATGCTGTACAGAGTGAAACATGTATGTTTACAGTAACTCAGCAGGCTCTGATAAGCTATACCGAGGTTTTTATTATGACCGTATATGCTGTGAATGTGGAGGGAGGGTTGGGGGTAGATTAATAGCTCAAAATTTGTGAAACTGCTAGTTGTTACTTAGAAACAGATGATTCTGAAAGAAAAGCTGTTAAATAAGAGCTGTGTGTAACTCATCAAGACACATGCTGATAATAAAACAACACTGGACATTATTCAGACGTGGTCTTCCATGATAATGTAGGACTTCTTCTTTTCTTTTTCTTTTTTACTTCCACTAAGGAAACTTGCTCATGAGTCATATGTAAAAGGTCATCTTCACAGAGGAAGAAGCGGTAATGGTTCTATATATCCTGTTGAGACCCTCAACTCTGCAAATGTGATTCATCATCTCATTGCATGCTCCTGGCTCCAGCCCGATTGACATCACATTTATTTGAAACAGTATCCATGATTTATTAATTAGTGCATGCTAAAAATAATCACTTTCTGGTGGATGTTTAAGTATGCATCAGTGCACGATTTTCAGCTCAACTCCCTGCACTATGACAATGTCTGTGGAGGATCCAACATTTTCAGTTGAAAGGTGAGGGTAGTGAGATTAAACTTCTAAGTGTCTAGAAACAGTAACTAATGGATTAGCTATTTGTTTAGCTTCTTGCTAACACTTCTATACATATTTATTAAGATGCAATTGTATGAGGAAATAACTCAAAAGTATGGACTTTCCCAGGTGTGGGAATCGTTTGAAACCTCACGATTCAATTCTTGGGGTAACGGCTCGATTCAAAACCATCAATGAGTTTACGATGAACACGAACAATTTTTTAATGGTACTGCGTGGATGTATCACTGAATAACTTAAAAACCTTTGACTGGCCAATGCGTTCACACTTGTTTCAAAAACAACTCGAGAAGTTTGGAGCTGTTCCGAGGTACTCGCGTCAGTAGGGCCTATGAATCTGTACAGCGACATCGTTCACATGGTCCAAGCTTTCAGAAAGTTCCCAGTTTAGAAGTTGTAACTTCAAGTTCTTTGAGCACGCGAACGCTTTGGCATTGATAGTGTTGCCAACTTGCCACAGAAACGCAAGATTCCGAGTAGAACGTGTTGTCATCTCGAAATTTAATTACACATGGTGTGAACGTAGCTAAAAACTAGTTTTGAGTGGATGCGCTAACTTTTAAATACCTATGATTGGCCATTGCATTCACGTTCTCAACATTGATTACTATCTTCAACTCTTCAAAAACACATTTGAGATGAACAATGAGCATTACTGAGTGGATGCCCAACTGACTTAATGCAGGAGTGTGCATATCAATGGATACCAAATTTACCTGGTACTTTCGGAAAACTAGTATTCTTATATTTTAAAAAATTTGACTTGGTACCAAAGTTCATGTGACAGTTTACAGTCAGCATGAGCCGTGCGCTCTCTAAATTGCCCAGGTGCTTCCACTTTTTTGCTGGCATTATTGCATTATCTAACATGTAGAAATTCTTTATTTTTTGTAATATGTACATCTATTTGAATCAGTAGAAGAAGAAATACCAGTTTGGAATATATAATAACAGGAAGCGACCAGAAGCCTCACAAATGGATGCACCCACTCTTATGTTAAAAATAATGTTGATAGTACATATGGTAAATGCATAGTATGCATTTTTGTTTGTAGTTAACTCTTTCCTACTATATAGTAGGCTAAAACAGTATGTGAAAAGAGTAGTATGTCCTAATTCATAGCATTCATGAAAAGTACCCAGATGACCTACTACTTCTGGCGAATTTCTGAAGCGCACATCTGATAGACATGTGACAAACATAACAAATGTAGTACATCTGAATTTCATTTATACTACAGAATCCACCTGATCTCACAGGAAAATGCTACTTTTTTTGCAAGGTGGTGATTTTGTATGAATTTGTATGATTTGAATTGTACAAAAACGTATGGTTTTTGGGAAAAAGGTAAGCATGAAGTTCCACCCCTAAACATAACCATCAAAGGGGCCCAAGTAGATCATACGAAAACATACAAATTAAATCGTATGAATTCAAACAAATTAGCCACCAATTCGCCAAAATGTACAATAGTTACAAATTGCTATGAGATTATGTTGCACATTCATACTTCATAATGTATTGAAAATACTTTTTTAAACAGCTACAAAGTAAGTACTCCTTCAAAAGAAGGGCATGTGGTTTCGGATGCAGTCACAGATAAGTGAGACACCCTACATTTGATTTATTTCCATGAGAACACCAAGAGGAAGAGATGCATGCTGGGAGAGACATGTCATGGTAAATCAAGGAGAAAGAGAGGAGACGTGACACAAGGAAACACCGACCACCAGAGTGCCAGATCTTTATTATACACAACACCTTTTATTATCATCTCACTTCCAATTCTCATTGTGCATTTTGCTCCAAGTCCATTTTAATTGCTACACAGGCACTTGACAATTATTTGTTATTCCAAAAGCATAAAAAAGAATGCTAAATATGTCCTCAGTCCCTCACTCCATACAAAAGGACACAGTTATTAGAGGGAGAGATGGGGATCGGGTCACCATGAGAAAAGACCAGAGGAAGAGTTATGGCTGCAGTGATCTGGGCTTTATCCAGTTCTTAACAGATGTTGAAGTACTTTAAAATCGGAAAGGATACAGCTGGATACGATTTTAATTCAAGCCTTGAACTGACTGAAGAAGGAGCAGCGGTTGCCATCACTGTAGCCATAACACACAGGAGTGATTTAAGAGCGTTCGGCCCTGATTTCTGCAGCTAATTTTTAAGTTTAATCTCAAGTCAGACTCCAAGCCTTCGATTATTTACAGACAAATTGGTGCTAAAATCAAAGACCCGCTCCCGCTTACACCAAAATCCCTATTCTTATCCTGAAGTTAATCAAGAAAACAAGATTTGTCATGGCTCATTTCCTTGCACGCACATCAATAAAAGCAAACGGCAAAGATAGGAAACCAGCTGGACCGCTTTCACTCTGAATTCTTTTCAACCATTGTTTACGCAACTGACGGGGCATAAATCTGTCAATAGCGAAGAATATCTGTCATTCTACTCCGAAGCAAACAGTTTGTGAAAAATGCAAACACAAAGACAAATGCCCAGGTTATAAATAATACACAGAAATACGCCTTAGTACATTTACTATGATATCTACATTAAAGGTTCACCGTTTTTTTGCGTTCAGAAAGTTCCCTGTGTCTTTGTAGGCGAGAACGGACTGGTTCCATAAAGCAAACGCCCCACAACGCCAAATACACCATCCCTGAATGCGAAAAAATAAAAGCGCCCCATAAGGCCTTGCCAATTAATTTAAGTTACAACAATCAGAACGCTAAACTAGCGTAAACTGTTACCAGATTTGGAGTCGGATGTTACCTGAGCTCTGACGGGTCAGCCCGTCACGAGTGGTTACCATGCTTTCCAGGATTATATTCATATACACAAAATATTATTTATATAAACAGATCCTTACACAGATTTGCATACAAATTGCACCTCCTCCTCCTCTGACTACCTAAGAAATTCCCATCACTAGAAAACTGGAAGTGCTTTTCAAGAACCAAATTTCCCGACCCAACAGAAAGAGGATGTTGCCTGTTAACACCAAACATGAGCATCAACATCTAGGTTTTTGAATTATGAACTTGTATGTTTGCATTTCTGATTGGTTAGCTGCTACGGAGTCATAATTAACAGTCTCTTGGTACTAAGTGCCGTTTTGAAGGGCATCAAACATAACAAACAGACAACTGAACATGAAAAACAAAGAAATCAGATCAAAATCAATCCCACATAGCAATAATAACAGGCGGTTGCCATCACTGTAGCCATAACACACAGGAGTGATTTAAGAGCGTTCGGCCCTGATTTCTGCAGCTAATTTTTAAGTTTAATCTCAAGTCAGACTCCAAGCCTTCGATTATTTACAGACAAATTGGTGCTAAAATCAAAGACCCGCTCCCGCTTACACCAAAATCCCTATTCTTATCCTGAAGTTAATCAAGAAAACAAGATTTGTCATGGCTCATTTCCTTGCACGCACATCAATAAAAGCAAACGGCAAAGATAGGAAACCAGCTGGACCGCTTTCACTCTGAATTCTTTTCAACCATTGTTTACGCAACTGACGGGGCATAAATCTGTCAATAGCGAAGAATATCTGTCATTCTACTCCGAAGCAAACAGTTTGTGAAAAATGCAAACACAAAGACAAATGCCCAGGTTATAAATAATACACAGAAATACGCCTTAGTACATTTACTATGATATCTACATTAAAGGTTCACCGTTTTTTTGCGTTCAGAAAGTTCCCTGTGTCTTTGTAGGCGAGAACGGACTGGTTCCATAAAGCAAACGCCCCACAACGCCAAATACACCATCCCTGAATGCGAAAAAATAAAAGCGCCCCATAAGGCCTTGCCAATTAATTTAAGTTACAACAATCAGAACGCTAAACTAGCGTAAACTGTTACCAGATTTGGAGTCGGATGTTACCTGAGCTCTGACGGGTCAGCCCGTCACGAGTGGTTACCATGCTTTCCAGGATTATATTCATATACACAAAATATTATTTATATAAACAGATCCTTACACAGATTTGCATACAAATTGCACCTCCTCCTCCTCTGACTACCTAAGAAATTCCCATCACTAGAAAACTGGAAGTGCTTTTCAAGAACCAAATTTCCCGACCCAACAGAAAGAGGATGTTGCCTGTTAACACCAAACATGAGCATCAACATCTAGGTTTTTGAATTATGAACTTGTATGTTTGCATTTCTGATTGGTTAGCTGCTACGGAGTCATAATTAACAGTCTCTTGGTACTAAGTGCCGTTTTGAAGGGCATCAAACATAACAAACAGACAACTGAACATGAAAAACAAAGAAATCAGATCAAAATCAATCCCACATAGCAATAATAACAGCGGTCATGGTGTCTTATTTCAGCATATCAAGTTAGAGAGTCAAGAAAACACAGAATGAAAACAAACAACACATGAAGTGTGTCTAAAACAAGAAAGAATCTTCAACCACCCTTAAGTTACCCAAGAACAGTACACATCTTATCCCACATTAAACCACTAGTCAGAGAGGAGGCATCATGAGTCTAATGTTGGTTTGTCTACACAAGTTGAGTAGGATACCCCCTGGTGGTCACCTGACCTATGTGAGTGATGAAATGACTGAAAGTTGGAGGCCACTGCACCCTTTATTTCACTCTATAGTTTAACAAAATAATCGCAACAATAATTTTATTTGAATATTTATGTGCTTAATTTAGACCTCTGGGCTTTAAAAGTAAGGATGTGATTAGCAGCGCTGATCAGAGGACAGTTTGAGTGGATTATTTAGGTTTATTGGTCAGGCTGTATGTGTAGACACACGTGCACATGTTTCAGTGCAGTTCTCCAGCCCTTCCTTTCTCTCTCTCTCTTTCTTTCTTTCTGTCAGCCCATGGTGGCCAGCGCACGGGTCTAGTCTAGAAGGGAGGGCTCGGCGGGGCGAATAATGGTGGGCCGGTTGGGAGCGCCAGGGGGTCTTCTGCTGCAGGAGGAAAAAAGAGTGAGAAACAGAGGTGAGACATACCCACAACCACAGGGAAATGATGGAGGAGAAGGGAGAAGGGAGTAGACAAGATGTGATGAGATGAGAAAAGAAAAGACGAAAAAGAGAAGAGATGAGACTAGAAGACTTGAAAAGATACAAGCTGAGGAGGGAATGAGACTAGATGAGACGAGATAAGAAGAGAAAAGAAGAGGTGAGACTACATGAGAGATGTGACTAGATGAGATGAGAAAAGACAAAAGGAGAGATGACTAGATGAGACTAGAAGAGATGAAAAGAGATGAGATGAGGAGAAACAAGAATTGATGAGACGAGATGACAAGAGACAAAATATGAGCAGAGACAAGACTAGATAAGACCACGTAAGAGACGAGAAAAGACAAGAGCTGAGCAGAGACGAGACTAGATGAGACTACATGAGACTAGATGAGATGAGAAAAGACAAAAGGAGAAGTGATGAGGCAAGAAGAGTTGACTAGATGAGACTAGAAGAGAGGAAAAGAGACAAGATGAGGAGAGACAAGAATTGATGAGACAAAATGACAAGAGACAAAAGATAAAAGATGAGCAGAGACAAGACTTAATGAGACCAGTGGCTGGTTGCATTAACAGCTTAGCCTAGTCTTAAAAAAATAGCCATCTATTTTTTTTCCCCTCAACACTCGTCATAACTTTTTAAAGTCAGTTGCAAAAAGGTAAACTGGTCTAATTTTAATCCGAAAAGTAAGACAGATTGCCCCTTTTGCTAACTGCTAGTTGGTCAAACTAGTTCTCAAGACACAACATAGCGGCTATGTTTATGCAACTGACCCCAGATGAGAAGAGGCAAAAGACGAGGAGAGACAATACTTAATGAGACTAGATGAGATGAGATGAGATGAGACAAAAGATGAGGAGACAAGACTAGATACGACCACATAAGAGATGAGACTAGATGAGAAGAAATAAGAAAAGACACGAGGAGAAGAGATGAGACTAGAAGAGATGAAAAGAGACTAAATGAGGAGAGACAAGACTAGATGAGACTACCTGAGATGAGACGAGAAGAGATGAGAAAAGACAACTGAGACAACCTAAGAGGAGATGAGACAAGATGACAAGAGACAAAAGATGAGGAGGGACAAAATGTAATGAGACTAGATGAGATGAGGTGAAAAGAGACAAAAGATGAGACAAGACTAGATAAGACATGTAAGAGACGAGACTAGATGCGAAGAGATGAGAAAAGACAAGAGCTGAGCAGAGACGAGACTAGATTAGAGGACATGAGACTAGATGAGATAAGACAAAAGGAGAAGTGATGAGGCAAGAAGAGTTGACTAGATGAGACTAGAAGAGATGAAAAGCGACAAGATGAGGAGAGACAAGAATTGATGAGACAAGATGACAAGAGACAAAAGATGAGCAGAGACAAGACTTAATGAGACAAATGGTTGGTTGCATTAACAGCTTAGCCTAGTCTTAAAAAAAATAGCCATCTATTTTTTTTTTCCTCAACACTGGTCATAACTTTTTAAAGTCAGCTGCAAAAAGGTAGACTGGTCTAATTTTAATCCGAAAAGTAAGACAGATTACCCCTTTTGCTAACTGCTAGTTGGTCAAACTAGTTCTCAAGACACTTAACATAGCGGCTATGTTTATGCAACTGACCCCAGATGAGATGAGACCGGATGAGAAGAGACAAAAGACGAGGAGAGACAATACTTAATGAGACTAGATGAGATGAGACAAAAGATGAGGAGACAAGACTAGATACGACCACATAAGAGATGAGACTAGATGAGAAGAAATAAGAAAAGACACAAGGAGAAGAGATGAGGCAAGAAGAGTTGACTAGATGAGACTAGAAGAGATGAAAAGAGACAAGATGAGGAGAGACGAGACTAGATGACACTACCTGAGATGAGATGAGACTAGGTGAGATGAGAAAAGACAAAAGGAGAAGTGATTAGGCAAGAAGACGTGACTAGATAGATGAGAGGGGAAAAGAAGAGATCAAAGAGAAAAGATGAGACAAGAAGAGGTGACTAGATGAGACTAGAAGAAATGAAAAGAGACAAGATAAGATGAGAAGAGATGAGACAAGACAAATGATGAGGAAGGACAGAACCAGATGAGGCTAGATAAAAAGAGATGAGAAAAGACAAGATGAGCAGAGATGAGACTACATGAAAGATGAGAGATAAAAAGAGATGAGGAGAGGACAAGAAGAGGCTAGATGAGGGTAAATGAGAATAAACAAGAACAGGAGGTTATATGAGAAGAAATTTGAAGAAACAAGACGAGAAGAGATGAAAAGAGATAAGCGACAAGGTGAAATGCGATGAGACTAGAAGTTAGGTGAGACTGAGACGAGAAGTGGCTAGATAAGGCCACATGAAAGCAGAAGAGAAGGCTAGAAAAGAGAGTAAATTTGAAGAAACAAGATAAGAATGGACAGGAAGAGACAAGACAAAAAAAGCTAGATGAGACTAAATGAGAAAAGAGATGAAAAAAAGAAACAAGAATGACATTAAAAGAGACAAGGCAGAAAGGACTGAAAGAGATGAGTGCAGAACAGATGAGATAAGAAAATACCAGATGAGACAAAGTGAGAAAGCACAATAAGAGATAAGAAAAAAAAGAGATAAGATTAGAATAGAATAGAAAAGAGGCGAGAATAGAAGTGATGAAGAGAGACAAGTCTAGATGAGAACAGATATGAAGAGATGAAAAGATGACGCTAGATGAGTAGAGAGAAAAAGAAGAAAGGAAGAGATGAGAGGAGATCAAAACAGGAAAATAATATCACTGGAAAGATTAGAAAATATGCTGAGAAGGAAATGAGGTATAACTTGTTTTTATTAATAATATTAGTAGTAGTATGTGACAGGAGAAAATATCTGCATGCAGCTGCTAGTGAGAGAAGAATAAGAGCTGAAGAGACAGTACATCAGTCAAACCTTGTTCAAATGTTTTTTTTTTTT